CACACATATACAAGATGCTCCTATAAAGTGATTTTTAAAGAGGCTTTTCTACCATTGTATTTTGAAATAAAATAAACATGCTTCATTTCTTGATTCGAAAAATCTGCAGCAAAATTGGGAAAAATCTTCCTCTGTGCTATAAGCTGTCCTTCAGTCTGGGGCTTGTGAATCTATCTGGTTCCTTTAAAGATACATCACGATCTAATTCTTCACCATCTTAGTCTTGCATCACAGAAAAGGCTTCTTTCAATCTCTTTGACTGACTGAAAATCTCTTCAGAATCCAAGACAAGAGGTGATACACTCATGCCTGCTGGTGTTATGTCTATTGCGGAAGTTGTGGGTTATTTTAAAAAGTTTAGAAACCATTTTTCTTCGTGCTCTCTCGCTAAACTTAAGCTTCTTTTTGAGTCCTATTTTTGTTGTTCTTAACTCAGAATACAAATAAAAGCTAACAGCACTTTTGGATGACTGTGTCTCACTGATAAAGAATTTTTTCCTTCAGGCAATTAAAGTACAAACCTATGTATGTATGTATGTATGTATGTATGTATGTATGTATGTATGTATGTATGTATGTATGTATGTATNGAGCCGGTGAGATTTGAACAGCCGAACTGCAGAACTGCAGTCAGCTGAAGTAGCCTGCAGTGCTGCATTTAACCACTGCGCCACCTCGGCCTCTATTGGTTAAGGAATGGCCAGGAGCTTAGGCTGCCGCATAGAAATGGCTTTGGTCGAGAGGACCAGTTTTGACCCTGAGTTCCTTGCATTTTTAGAGGCTTTGTGTGCTACAATCTGGTATTAAATGCTTTCACTTGAGCCCATGGTACACTGTCACAGAAACCACACCACCTCCTGGAGAGCCAAAGTTCCAAATTTAACAAGGTAGAAGTCTTGATTGTGGGGTAAAGTTTAATCCAGGATAACTAATGTGGAGCTTAGCAGTCCTGGAACCAAATCAGCAATATTGACAATAAAATTGTCTTTTTTTATTTTAAAAAATGGTTTTTGAAAGAATGGAAAGATATAACACCATTTGAATATTGAACTTATTTTAACCCAAATATTTGAGGCTGTAGTTTATTATAATTTCCCTTCATATTTAATAGGTATGGTACTTACATTACAAGCAAAATATTATTTCAAGAAACTCTTATTCAGATTTTTTAAAAATAAAAATAACTATAACAATAACTATTTTTATGATCTTAAGGAGCATTTTTAGTAATAATGGCTGATTTTGATAGATTCCCAGGGTGCTGGATCAGTGCTGATGACATTAATGGTTTGAGGCTCCCTGAATGTTGATTGATTGCTATAATCTGCTGAAACTATTTCAAGACATAGATTTATTATTATTAAGCTTATAAAATAGTGCCAGGGTCAAAGCAAGCTGATGATTTGTTTTGTGATGCAGACATTATACAGGAGAAGATGAAATCTTTTAATAAATGTGAAATGTAGGAAAGAACAATGTTTCATTGTGTTCTTACTGAAAAGTCTGCAGCCTTCTAACAGAGATTACAACATCAGTGGCCTGGGGATGTGGCGGGCAGCATGTACTGAAACTAAGGCTCTTCAAGAAAAATAGCAAGTATCAGACCCTGAATTAGCCTCTGCTTAGTAATATCAGTAGTTTTAAGCCAGGCATATAATGTAGAAGTATACGATGCAATAATCCTGGGAAATCTAGCAAGGAAAAGTGTATTAGGATCAGGATAAAAGATTAAGGGAATGGAAAACACCATATATGACTCCCTAATTTCACAACCAGTACCTGGAATTTTATCTAGAACTTTACTGGTAATCAGTGCAGCTCATACAATACAGGTATTACATAGGCATACCAGGTTGTGTCCATAACTGATCATGCTACTGAATCCAAGATCAACTGCAGTATCTAAGTAGTCTTCAAGAGTAGGTCCTTGTAGATTGCATTGCAATAATCCACATACAAAGTGATTAAGGAATGAGTGACCAATAGAAAAGATTTTTAGTCCAGGAAAGTGTGTTAATCAGTACACTAATGAATTCGGACAACAACCCCACCACCACAGCTGCCACTTTTTTTGTTGAGTTGGAGTAAGTCCAAGAAGATCCCCAAATTGTGCACCAGTTAGTCCAGGGAAGTAATACCATATTTACAGTTATATGGAAATCCTTGGTACCAGGAGAATCTGAAGCACACAGTCATTTGGTCTTGTCAAGGTAGAATGTAAGTCTGTTCATTCTCAATCAGATCCCAGTAGCCTTCAGGCACTGAAACAAGACCTTGACAGTACCTCTTGGTTGGCCCTGAGTTGAGATGCACAGTTGAGTATGAAACCTGACCTGATGCCAACAGATGAGTTCATCTAGTGGCTTCATGTAGATGTTAAACAGAGAGACAGGAATATCAGATCCTGCGCCACCACATTTTTCAGTGTCCTCAGGCTTATCTCTTTCTCCCACCCCCATCAATACTGACTGGAACCAGTTACAGAAATTTGAGAGGAAAGCTTGGAAAAAGATTTCCAGAGGCATTCATGATTAACATCTAAATTCAAGCACAAGGAAACTAAATTCAAAATAGGAAAGCTGGAGAAACGTTGATAAATGTTTCCATGGGATTTCTACAGTTCTTAAATGTGCTCATTCATGTCTCTGGTTTGGTCATTCACTCCACCCCAGTGCTATTCTAAGAATTATGAACAAATACTTGGAAAGCCATATTTTTAATGAAACCTATTCCCATAGTTATCTCATAGTGAACAGGTCATCTACATGGAATCCCTTCTGTGAATGAGTCTGACTCATGCTTGAATGCACTCAACAATAATGCATTCAATAACTGAAAAAGAAATTTAGTTGGCAAAAATAATAGAGATGCTCTTCCAGGAATAAACTAATTTTTTGTTCTTCATATATTTTTCTTTATATATTTATGTGAAGTATAAATTAAGGTCTTGATTAATAATATAGATGTACAAAACCTAGTATTCTGAATGCTGATACGGTACATGAATATACATGGAAAAATTGCTTTTGAATTTCTACAGCACTCTGTAGAAAGACAGAAAGATGCTCCTAAAATAAAAATAAATACTATTAACAATGGCATTATTAACACATGTCATGATCCCAGAAGTTTGCCTTGTCTGGTTTCTATTTGCTTTTGGTTTAAGATGCATCAATTTAGATATATAAATACTCTCTTTGGTTTTGCTAGGCCTAGTCCAAATAGGAAATGAGAAACTGGAAGAAAATATAACCAGCTGATATACAGGTACATTTATATTCTGAATACAAATAATAAGTTGATTAAGAACCTGGCACAGGTTGATCCTAACATTATTTTCCAAAAGACAAAAATCCAAATCTGCTATTATTCTTTTCTGGGAAAATCAAGGGCAATTTAAGAACAACCAGAGCAACAAATTAAGAGCAAGCAGGGAGGCATTAAATGGCATTTTTTTTCAAACTGAGCATCATTTCTTGTCTTATAATTCTTAAGCACCAATTCATATGCTCGCTAAAACAGCGAGCTCAGACTGAACTCAGATTACAAAAAAAATGAATTCAATGAATTCAATTCAAATAAAAGAAAATGTATTTATTATGCTTCCAAAAAGAAAAAAATGTATTTATTATACTTCATGCATCTACCACAAGTTAATAAATGTAGCCAATAACCAGATAATATCAGTTAGCCTTTGTGAATAACTCTTTAATATGATTATCCAGGTTTATGCTCCAGTTGTTGATGACAAAGAAAGGGAAGTTTGGCAAGTTCAAAGGTCAAGTTAAATCTGAACTTGATACATGATACAAAATATGCTGCTTGTGATTCATTCATTCATTTCATTCATTTCCTTTACTTGTATGCCGCCCTTTTCCCTGGGGGGACTCAGGGAAGCTCACAATTCAAAAAGG